GGAAAAAGCAACAAAAATATAAAAATTCATAAGCATTTCCACATTTACAATTTTCATTTTTTAACTTTCTAGTTATATCAAATATATTTAGTAAATATAATTCAAATAATTAAGGTATTTTAGATCAAATACTAACTTTTCAATAATTTTTTCATGCAAGTCTAATATCGATATAACTATCAAGTTTTGATTCGAAAATTATTTTTAGAGAACCTGAGCTGCAGTAAATAGTTAAATTTATTCAAAAACTGAAAGTAAAGCATTCTTATTTATTTTCTTTCTTTAACTATGCAGATCTTTTAAACAACAACAAAACAACAAAAACGAAAATACATTCATGAAGGACTTTAAAAACTTGATATTTCAGTATTACAAGTGCCTAGAAATTCAGTATATGTAAAAAAATGAACAAAGATTGGAACAAAGTACCTGTCTTTCTATTGCAAAAATTTCCTGTTATATAGCACAATCTTGAGTTAAAGATTTATATTAAAGAAATTTAGACAATTAAATATTTTGGGAAAACACTAAGCAAATAAAAAATTTGAATTATGATAAATGAAAGTTACTTATATTATTCTTATATTTTTGCATAAGGTAGATAATATTTCCAAACCAGATTCTGAACAATAATCATGTTAATTGCTGTCTTTTTCCATTAAAAGCTATTTCTGCTTAATACAGTATGCTTTAGATAAATATTAAGTTATATAAATATAAAAGGTTGAGGACACATACAAACAGGACTTACACAAACAGTAAGAAACAGCTAGGCAAAAATATTTTCAATTTATTGATTTGGTATTCTATCATTAACAGTACCAAATCCTGAAAAATGAATCATTAGGCACGTACACTAAAGACAACACATGAAAAGCCCATCCTACACACGCGTTTATAAAATTTTATATAGGTGAAGAAAGTACACGTATTAAACACTGAAAATAAAAATTCACTTACTTTTTTCAATAATAGTAAACATCAATGGATTCAGTCACAACGCCAATCCACGAACAACAGTATTCTTTGGGACATTACCATCTTCTCGACCGCCATTGCTGACTTCAACAAAATCCCGCCACAACCGAAGTAGAAAGTGTGGCTTGTCATTGGCGTGAACAAGAATTGCATGCTCTTTTTTTTATTTCTTTATAATTAAACATATTAAGAAAGCTCTAATAGCATATGAAATAAACTTACTTTGCATTATAAATTTATATTCACAGAATCTGTATTAAAGTAATCATTCAATTTTCTGAAAAAATAGAAATGTTGGTATGAGCATGCTCGGGTATAATTGTAAATCCGGTTGTCTTCGACACCTTTGTTTTTTAGTATTACAGGAACCATATTAAACGACAACTGGAAAAAAGCGCAATGCACGCAGGCTAATCCAGTTAACAGCGAAAAGGAATGGAATGGAATATGAAATTGATTCATTTAACTGGCCCTGTATTACTTGAGATCCCAATTAAGAAGTCTTTAATGTTTCAGGAAAATATAAATATAATATATTATTATTAATTACTTATTTACTTTTTCTATAGAAAAATTATAAAATCGCTATATCATTTTCCCGTAAAAACAAATTAAAAAATTTAGCCCTATATGATTTTTAACAAAGATTAAAGGAACTGAAATATTGTAAAATATCAGGTTAAGCTGGCAAGTTCGTAGAATATTTATTATTATTAAATAAAAACTAGTATATTTTGATTATAAGTAAGGATCTGGGTCTACATGAAACTATGGTTAAGAAATTCAAATTTTCAGATTTATGGTTATTTATTATTCTTCTCGACATGAACGATCGCTAGCTATACATTTAATGCCCACATTTTTAAATAAAATAAGGCGAGTATGTCCAATCATAAGTACACAAATTTAATATACATCTTATTCCATTAAATGGGAAAGGATTTCATAAAAATTAAATTGTGTAAATTAATGTAAGTGTTGATATGAATAAAATAAAAATTTCGTATAAGAAATAAATAAGTTATTTTGAGATCTTTGAATTAGAAAATAATTTTTGCACAATGACGTAGATTCAGTCACATGTTAAATTCATGAAAAATTTTAGCCTCTATATGGATGCCTTTTTCATGTTGTGGACAAGAAAAAATGAAATGCCAGAAATACACAAATTTTTAAACTTCATTTTCAATCTTTTAGACTTCATATATGTAGATATCGTAATGTGACGAATGAAATATACATAAAGGGCAGTAGTTCTTTCAGAACATTCGTTCGATAATGTGCGTAAAAGTGACGAATAAAATACAGTCAAAAGTCGTTAATCTGGACGCCGGGCTTCGGCGATTCCAGATTAGTTTTTCCGGATTTAAAAAATCGTACGATGGCATGCAGAAATTCTAAAATTAAAAATATGAAACCGTAATTTATGAAATAAAGAACAATTATGATCTAAAGGGTATCAAAATTTACAAAAAAAAAAAAGCTTAATATTTATTTGTTTACTTTATTAAACATTTCTTCAATGTAAGTGTTAAGTTGCTTCGTTTTATGTGATAATATTTCTCTTTATTCTAAAACAGACATAATTTTGTGTTCAGTACAAAGTTCGCTGTTCAAGCCGTAATTGCTGTGCCGAGAATACCGACTAACTTGTCAATCGAAATTTTTTCGTTTTCACTAACCTCTCTGTCACTTCTTATGTCTTTATCCATTTTTGCAGCAATCCACTTTTGTTGATGAAATCGAACATACTTTCGTTTGTAGATCCTTTGGGAGCTCCAGCATGGAAATTTATTTGACATAATCGAAAGTTAAGTTTATTTTTAAAAATTGCTCTTACAGTCTGCAAAAAAAATAAGCCGATCAATTCAAAATTAAGGAACAAGCAATCATCAACATTAACTGAAATAGATATTTTACTTATACCATCCATTATACATTAAACGTGCACGCGAAAAGATTCTGCTTTGTACGCTATGCAGTTGTAAAGGTTTACGCGCACGCGTTAATGCCTATGTGCAGTGTCACGCGGCGCATGCGTAGAACTTTTTAGCTTTGAGGTCCGGATTAATCATTCCGGAATGGGTGTCCGAATTAACGACTTTTATTGTATACGTATGGGGGTAGTTTTTTCGTACATTCGGATTCGTAAATTTTCGTAAATAAGTGTAGAAAATAACGATCAGAGTCAATAACTTCAGCCTTTTGTGTATAATTCGTAAAAGTAACGTGCAAAAAATACCATACTTATTCACAAAATTTAAGTATATTTTGGAGACGTGTGCTGGGTAATTGCTTTATTTCTACTATGGTTTCTGTTATTCATAATATTTCTGCATGCTATCTTACCAGATTTAAATTGATGATCTATAATCCGGAAAAACCCATAATCCAGAATCTCTGAAATCCCGACGAGTCTGGATTATGGACTTTGTACTGTAATACTCTTTACGGCCCCTAGATCATTCTAAAATGTATAAACACCCTCCGTACAAATACTGATTAATTAACTACTAGTTGAACCTTCATAAAAAAAGTCCTATAAAGGATAAAAATAATTCAGTAAGAAAAATCATGCTGAAAATCATTAGGGGTATGGGAACAGAATTTGCTTAGTTAAGTTTGATTTATTCCTGGGAAACATTTTCCTTAGCAGGGGCTGATAGTTAAAAACCAGATCAGGGAGCTACTGGCAGACCTGGACATGAGATTAAGAGTTAGCAGCTATGAAATGTATATATATATATACAGGATTTTCAAATATCTTCATTGTAATGAATGTTATGTAGCATAGCTTTATAATAAAAAATGAAAACTGAAACAAATTATTGATGAAAATTCACTAATCTGCATGCATATTCCATACAAACTCGTACATTATATCTAATGATTTGAATAAAAATTATGCAAGCTGTAAACTGCATATATTTTTTTAGAATATTTCCTTATACAATACAAGCATTTTCCATTAATAGCTTAATAACATATACACTAAGTTTTTTCTGACCATGAATAATGATAATGTATAATGATTAATCTAGCAATTTTATATGCAACTTAAGTGTGTATACAAAGCAAGAATAAAATTCCTTTTCTAATATATTTTACATATACTGTAGGTTTAAATTAAGACATACAGGGTGTGACAGTGATTTCTGGGATTTTAAAAGTATTATCAAGAGTAAGTGATTTACTTATTATTTACTTAAAACACACAAGAGCACACAGTAAACATTAAAGCATTTAGTTTTCAAAACTCAAAAAAACAAAACAAATTTGTTTCAGTTCAAATAAAAATAACATCTTTTAGATGACCACCATCCCTACGTATGCACTCAAAAAGTCTTCTGCTAACATCACTCACTACCTGTAGCAGCATCTCCACAGGAATTTCCCTAATAAGAGAAATTTTGCTCGCTAATGTATCTTGACAAATGGAAGTGGGCTTTGTCACTTATCAGTAAATTGTTAACCTGATTCTGGTTTCCATTAATCAACTGTAGAAGTGTCTGGCAAAACTGAAGTCTGTTTTCACAGTCCTGCTCCTGTAGAGCTTGAACAATATGAATCTTGTAGGCATGGAAATGATCTTTATGTTAAGATCCTTTGAATGCTGTGGTCTGAAAACCCAATTGCCAGAGAATGACAATGTGCAGAATGGTGGGGACTATGTTTAATGGCCTCTCTCAATGCCGCTATTTTCTCGGATGTTTGCACTGTTTTTTCACTACCATCTCTCTTACTTACTGTCGAACCAGTAGCTTTGTACCCAGTTCTCGATGGCATCGGCTGAAGGAATAGCTTTATTACCATGAATCTTGAACTTCCCTCAAAATTCAAACTGAAAGAAGATCAATGATGAATCTTGAATTTTCTTCAAAATTCATGCTGAGTGATCATGTAACTGTTGCCGTTTTTATAAAATGCCTTTACAGCATTAGCACATTGCACTCCTGTTCATTTTTACTAAAAATGCTTTAAAGTTTTTTACAATTTGGCAGTAGAATCATTCTTCCCAATCCTGCCAAATTGTCTGATTACCTGCCACAGCTTGTACTGTACTGTATTTTTTAAATGGAGAAAAAGAAAAAAATAATAATAACTTAATCTAAAAGCATCCTACATCAAATATAATTATCTTTCTTGGTAATAATTGATAAAATGAATTAATCAAGATATAAACCTTTTTTTTTTTAAATTTAAAAATCACATCAAATTCAATAACATCAATACATCTAAAAATCTTAATAAAGGAATGGGGTAAAAAAATATATCTTACTTCAGCTTTTTCATCACTTTCTAATGTTGCTGTCTGTAGCAGAGCTAAAAGTGTTTCTTTTGATGTAGCTTGCTTACAGCTTTCTAAAATAATAATAATAATAATAATAATAATAATAATAATAATAAAAGAAATATAAAATGAATATATGCATAAAGCAGTACTTTCCCACTAGTGGGAATGAAGACAAACATAAGCACTATGAACAAATATTTTTAGTATCACACCATATGAAAGATCTTACACTGGAACCCTGTGAATCAGTGTCAATTTCTGTTTCTTGATTTTCATTTCTCTTGATCATAGTTAATTTTTTGCACACAAACCAAAATGGTATCACAATTTGGCAATTGCTAAATGATGAAGAAACTCCAATCAAACTGCTTGAAAATAGAGGATTTATTTGCAAAGAAAATCTTTGACCAATAACCACCAAACAAAATTATGTTTTAACTCAACACAAAAAAAGCACTGCCACTGGAAAAAGGAAGAATTTTAAACTCCTATATGGTTTAAATAATACTCCAACTCTATCCTTACTGCTGTTTGATTTACATACTGATAATATAAAGAATCAAAAGTGAAATTAATTTTTAAAATGCACTTTCAAAGAGATATGTGCATATATGATATCTGACCTTTATATTAAAATCAGCAGAAGCAGGAAAATCACTGAAATTAACAAATGCACAGTCCAAAATCTATGTTAGTGAGTGAATGATTTCTTCTACTTCTGATTCTTCTGCTCATATTTTAAAGGCTGCTATTGAGAGAAAGATCACAGATGGAAATATTTTTTCAGACTTTCAGGAAAGCATGTAAGACCAATGAATTGTGAGCTGCTGGCTATGAAGATTTCATTGTAAATAGTTCATAATTTCATGGTCCTGAATATTGTCTGTTATATCCAAACAGCTGAGCATTTACGGGGCAGTAAAGTGGCAGAATAAAAGTCTTACAATCATTACTTACCATCAATTACAGTCTTAATTAATTGAGTTTACATTACCTCATAGGCATTCAAAAACCGACATGCTCTCTTTTATGATAAATAACATTTAAAATTTCTTGTCTGCTGCTGTATTTTTTTTCCTTCACCCATTCTCATTAGAAAAAATAAATTAATATTTCATGGCATGAGCTTTCCCATTCTTACATTTACTATTATCAATGTTAATATTAGCTCACTTGTGAGCATTTGGTCCAGCATTCCCCACCAGTTTGAAAAGTACCTATAAAGAACTATACTTTAGATGCAACAAAATATCTGCATTATAATACATTATTTGCAGCAAATGAGATTTGACTTTTATTACCTTCAGAGCAAAATTAATGATATGGCAATGATATTCTAGAAAAATAGGCTGACCATGATATCTGTATTAAATCAAATAAAGTAAAAATATTTAAACAAACAAAGTAAAATTACATAAATTAGATGTAATAACAGCTTTATATACATTAATTTCCCTATTTTTAAATTTAAATGATTAAACTACATTATTACATTTTAGTATTTTAATAGATGATACAACTCACTAAGAGCAAAGTATAAGCTCAATACTGGAAAACGTCATCTGTTGTCGTCTTCTTCATGAATTTCATGGAAGAATAGTTGCAGAGCCTCAGGGGGGCTGGACTTCAAACTTCCACCCCAATTTTGAGGGACAGCACCCGGGTCGGGGTGGGGGGCGAGGGACTACAATCACTCTCCTCTTCTACCAAACCACATGAAAGGACTTTCGGTTCGCCACATATTTAGAGTGTCTTCATGCTGCAAAGATACTAAACATTTACAAACACCCATGCATTCTCTGGGATTCAAATCTGGGCCCTTCAGTACTGCAGTAGGCTCCTCGGCTCCTCTAATCACCATACTGTTACTGCTGTTTCTACAAAATTTCAAAGGGTTCACTATAAACTACATGTGCCTTTTAGACATTTAATCAGTTGCTATCATTAAATACTATTAGTCCTTTGGAGGCTTTCAGTCTTTCCACAGAAAATGCTCTGTAGGCATGGAACAGCAACATGGTAACTTCGTGACAAACTTTTCCATAGATCTGCTGTAAATGAAAGGAAGAGGGATGATCACGATTATTTTTCCTTTCTGAATACAAGCTATCATCAATTCTAATGATTTTGTTGTGTCCATAAATTTTAACTTTAAGATAAGATAATGAAGTAATAGAGCATGTAATCCAAAAATATTTCCTTTTCTTTTTTACAAAAATGAACACTGCATAGTCATTTCGGCTTCAAATGGTATTTTAATCTCATGAGGTGGTCATTAGAAATTTTCATTGTGATGAATATCTCTTTTTCTGGAGAAACAGGATAGTCATTTGTTCATCTTTTGGCTATTCCAAATTGTAAAATCAATTTCAGTTATTAATAAATAATAATAAAAAAAACATGGTTCAGCAAGCAATGGTTTTAAAGGCATAGCTGCCACCCAAAGAAGCCCAAACAAACTGATGACACTAGGTACCAATGACATATGCCAGAAAAAAAAAAAGCCCAAACAAACTGATGACACTAGGTACCAATGACATATGCCAGAAAAAAAAAGCCCCAAACTTTGATGAAAAAGTACTACTATTTTAACTTTGATTTAACATTTAGCATTACAATATAAAAATATTTATCCAAAGTATTTGAATACATTTAGCATATTAATCATAAAAATTATAAGCAAAAATTAAGCATGTTAAGAGTTTCTTTTCAATTTATGAACAGTTAAAAATATTAATATTGTTATCATTATATGATCATAATACCTTAAGAGTACAAAAACAATCTTTCATTTGAATGTGAAGGAAAAGTAATAATATTTTCTCATCTTCATTCTTACATGAAAGAGAACTTATGAACATTTATTATTAAAATGAACACTGATTCAACCCTTGATTTGTTTATCAACTGAATTAATAATACGTAAAAATTATATTTAATCCTTTTTTTAAATTTAATACAATACATCCTTCAATCTATTTAGTAAATAAAATTTTAATAAACATATAAGAAGTTTTTTCCCCTACTTAGGTCTAACACTAGTTTTCTTCCCTTAGCCTATGTTTATTCATATCTCTCTTTCTCACTGCCACCAGCACTACATGATATCTGTAGACTCTTTTCGTGCTTATATTTTTGCAAATTTTAATACCTGATTTCTTTTTATTTTACAGCAATAAATGAGAAGAGACTACAAACAACTGCCTGACATTTTTAAGAATCTGATACTGTTAGACTAAATATTTGTGTGCTAAGGTCCTCCTGTCCAAATTTTCCTTAAGTCTTGCAAAGAATTTCCATCATACTTATTGGGAAGGGGGATATCCACAAATAAGCACAGTTGAAAGTTTAAACTCACATACTTCAAGGATTGGCTACATTCTGAAGCCCACCAGTGGCCATGTGGGTAAGACCAGATACTTTGACCTGGCTTAGGTTCAAACCCAGCCAAACTGACTGGCTGTATGGTTGGTTTTTCCAATGTATAATGTGAAAATTTCCCTCAGAAAGAAGTTCATAAAGGCACCTCTGTTCTCAGGCAGATAGCTCTTGTGACCTTGACTTTTTTTTTTTTTTGTTGTTGTTGTTGCAAAATGTTTAAAAAGCCCCAAAGTCAGTTTTATTTAGTAATCAAAAGTCAATGCAGATTAAAAATTTCAGAACATTAGAAATTTAACGCACTTTCAATAAATAGTGAACTTAAACGTGTAGATAACTGTATGCTGGCAAACAGTTCTAATAACTAGAAGATTAGAACAAGGCAAATCTAGAAAACAGCATATCTACATTTAAATGAGAAACAGACTAACAAATTTTTGAGATTTTTTCGATTCAGCTGGCAGATTTATAAATATCTAATAAGAATCTCCATTCAATACAGCATCCAAAAATTTCCTAAAATTACCTGAACTAGAATCCATATATCGGCGTCGCCACATAAATTCACAAAAATAAGAATAAAAAATAGCCTACATAGTTCCGGACTGTCTGGAAAATGGCTACTAAGTAAACCTTCATTTACACACCAGTCAATTAATGCACTTTTCCCCTTTCGTTCCAATCGACAGAAACTTACTTAATCTTACTACATTCAGCCATTCTACCTCTAAACAATTGAAACACAATGTACTTCCTAACCAAACACCAAAAAATCCTTAAAGTACATACATGATTCAAATTACGGAATAATGCAAACGTTAGTCATATAGGTTTCCATAATTCATTACTCAGGTTACCATAAATGAAACAACAACTTTGCGATAATACAAGGGGTACCTTAACGTCAACTCTAACCCGTTGGGCGATATATGTGCAAAGTCATTACCAGTTTCAGTGTTTTTAAATTTCTAAAAAATTTTATTCACTTAAAACCTAGTAGAATATCTTAACGGCTGAGTCGTAACTGCTAGGAATTCTTTTTTTTCGTCGACTTTAGAATTTTGGAACAGTCCAACATTTTTGTAGTTATAGTCATGTTTGTTTACAAGACCCTTGAACACTAATGGCGAAAATTCCTAAAACCTGACAGCAGTACTCATTAGTAGCTCAAAGAAGATATCAGTTTCTGGATTTTAAAATTTACATTTTTTTACTCATTATTCTTCAATAAAAAGGTTTGATATTATTTATAATAAAATATGCAATTAAAACTTCTGGTACATTTTGATTATAAGCTCTGTGAAAAATCAAAACTGTGAACTAGCGAAGAGTATTTTTTACCTATCTTTATGCTCGTAACTACTATTCTGTTCATAAATAATAAAAAGGAGCATTGTGTCAGAAATAAAAAATTTTAGGAAACAATTTAAAAATCTGTATGACTGATATTTACATTTTTACAGTCTGTGGTTACTATTCAGGGTTATCAAAAGTACTCAAACATGTGTGGTACATGTATGCATGATATAGATATTGTATACATATTAAAAGATATGCCAAAAAAATCACAGTTCGGTTAGAGTACAGAAAAGGATACTCCTTGTATTATCGCAAAGTTGTTTCATTTATCATCAAGGAGTTTTTCATTTATGGTAGCCTGAGTAGTTGAATGTTATGGAAACCCTATTATGACAAAATGGATTGCATGATTATAGTAAAATGACTGAATGTGGTAAGATTAATTTGAAGTTTCTGTACGACTTGGAAAGAAAGGAGAAAAGAGCATTACTTGACTGGTGTGTAAAATGAATGTTCACTTAGCAGGCCATTATTAGGTGTCCTGTTTATAGGAAGGAAATGCGTATGGTCGAATGTCGGAAATGCATACGGTCGAATTTAGCTACAGAGGATATTTTTGACACTTAATTTTGTGAATTTATGTGCCGATGCCAGTATACAGATTCTAGTTCAGATAATTTTAGAAAGTTTGGATGGTGTGAAGGAATTTTGACTGAAGTCAGGAAAATTTCTAAAAGGTAAGTGGATTTTCTGTTTGTAGGAAGTAGATTTTCCTTTTATGCTATCATGGATTTAAAATGTAGTTTATTAAGATTACATATTTTTTGTTGGCTGCTCCTTTCACTTTTTAAGGGAAAATAGATCAATGTGTACATGGACAAAGGGAGAGCGCAATGACAAGTTTGTGCAATTCTCTGATGTTTTTTTTTTAAGTGAAAATGGGTCGATGTGTACATGGACACAGAGTTTGTGCAATTCTTTGAATTGTTATTTTGACTTTGAGTAGCAGTTATTTTTGGTGCAAAAATCATCACTATACAAAGCCAAAATAGCAAAAGAATTGCACAAACTCGGTATCCATGTACCGCCAAAAATCGCAAATTATCACCAAGGGGCAGCAGTACATATATTTTTACCTTTTTAGAATTTAGATAAGCACTTGGCAACAAAATTTTAGACCCACAGGGATTGCAAAATGTCTAGCACTGGCCTTGAATAAGCCTTAAGTATTTATTCAGAACTTAGATAAAGAAGCCTTAACCATATGTCGGAAATAGTCAGCAACACGTGACAGAAGAAAGACAAAACTCAGCGAAGCAACATGTATTTAGCTTTCAAATCTCATGATACATCAGCAATTATATGTAGATAGCAAATGGTAGCTAAGCTTTATGATGATAGCCATGATTTTGAAGGCGTTTAAATATCACAAACAAAAGGCAAAATTTTCTTCTTAATAAAATTTGTAAATAAGTGTGGAAAAACAGTAATAAATGAAGATGACATAACAGAAGTTTTTCATTCTGATGACAATGCCAAATCATCAAACACCTAACAGTAGTGGCATAGCTAGGGTGGGACAAGGGGTACATCTGTCCCTGGGCACAGCAACCAGGGGGCGCCAAATTCATGTTACAAAATTTAAAATGAAATGCTTTCCATTCTTGGTACTCCGAAAGGGGTGCAAAATCTTCAGTTGTCTCCGGGTGCTGAAAACCATAGCTATTCCTCTGCCTAACAGACGGCAAAGTACATAGTATGGTTCTAAATCCTGAAAATATTGCTACCAATAAACAGTGAAGTGACAAAGGGGCTGATGGGAATGAAAAAATTTCGATTGACAATTTAGTAGGAGTTCTTGAATTTGACAATTTAGCAGTAGTTCTTGAAGTGGCAGTTACAAGACTTAAAAATGGAACTTTGTAAAAGAACAAGAAATAATGTTTCATGTATAGAATTACACAGAAAGTATTAACACACACACACACCAAAAACAAAAAAAAAAAAAAAAAAAAAAAGTAGCAAATTAAACAACCTACACTGGGAAAAAATGCTTAATAAAACTAATAAAAAAAATACCCAAATTTTTTTTTTTTTTTTTTGTAAATTTATACAGTCAAAAGTCGTTAAACCGGACCTCAAAGCTACAAACATTCTGCGCGAAATACTTTTACGCATGCGCGTTTAATGTATAACGGACAGTATTAAGCTAAGCTAAAATTATTATTAATCTATTTCAGTTAATGTTGGCAGATTGCATGTCATAATCTTCGAATTGGATCTGGTTATTTTTTTTTTGCAGACTGTTAGAGCATTTTATAAAGTAAGCTTGAACTTTCGATTATGTCAAATAGAATTTCCGATGTGGAGTTGTCAAAGGATCTGCAAGGCAAAGCATGTTTCGATGTCCATTAAACAAAAAGTGGAACTGCTGCAAAAAAATGTATAAAGGCATGAAGAAAGTGACAGAGAGGTTATTTTTTTCTCTACCATCCGAAATCTGTTTATCAATTTCATGCTGCTCTGCGGAAGGGGGGGGGAATGTTGCGACGCGCAATGAACTGGAAGTTGATCTGTCAGCACTATCCTCATCTTCGGACCTCAAAGCTACAAACTTAGGGGGGGGGAATGTTGCGATGCGCAATGAACTGGAAGTTGATCTGTCAGCACTATCCTCATCATCGTACCTCAAAGCTACAAACTTTCTGCGCATGCGTCAATGCATAATGCTTTTATGCATACACATAATACGTTTACGCATGCGCGTTTAATGTATAACGGACGGTATAAGCTAAGCTAAGATTATCTAATTATCTATTTCAGTTAATGTTGCAGATTGCGTTGTTCCCATAATCTTCGAATGGATCGGCTTATTATTTTTTGCAGACTGTAGAGCAATTTTATAAAAGTAAGCTGAACTTTCGATTATGTCAAATAGAATTCCGATGCTGGAGCTGTCAAAAGGATGCAAGGCAAAAACATGTTTCAATGTCCATTAAACAAAAAGTGGAACTGCTGCAAAAAATGGATAAAGGCATGAAGAAAGTGACAGAGAGGTGATTTGTTTCTATAAACATTCTGAAATCTGTTTATCAATTTCATGCTGCTCTGCGGAAGGGGGGGAATGTTGCGACGCGCAATGAACTGGAAGTTGATCTGTCAGCACTATCCTCATCTTCATTACAGATGTTTTTATTTTATTCGGCTTATAATTCCTCACTAAATGTAGTGTTTCATCTCGATGTACTCCTATATAATTTAAATCAATTCCTCGTCATTAAAATATCATGAATACACATCAATAGTTTTCTGGTTGCAATTTTCTAATTTCGACTATGCGTAATGTTTTTATGCATGTACACGTTGAAAGAAATGTTTAATAAAGTAAACAAATAAATATTAAGCTTTTTTTTTTTTTTTTTTTTTTTTTTTTTTGTAAATTTGATACCCTTTAGATCATAATTGCTCTTTATTTCATAAATTCTGGTTTAATATTTTTAATTTTATAATTTCTACATGCCATCTTACCAGATTTAAACTGATGATCTATAATCCGGAATCACTGAAGTCTCGGCGAGTCCGGATTAAAGACTTTTGACTGTATTCACTAAAAGTCATAAATACTTCATTATTTCATAAACCACAAATACATATTTTTAATTTTATAATTACTACATCCAATCTTACTAGATTTAAACTGATGATCTAATATTTGGCAAAAATCTCAAATCCAGAATCACCGAAGTTATAATAAGTCCAGATCTTGGATTTTGTACTCTATACATACTTAGAGAATAAATATTTAAATTATTTCCTTAACTTGATAACATGATAAGCACCTATTTTTTTCTTTTTCTCTAATAAGCTATCTCTTAACTCCAAAGCTATTTTATGAGTCTCTTCTAACTGGTTACGATGTTCCTCAATAATTGGCTTCTTGGACATATTATATTCAGATATGCTTCGATTGCTAGCCAACAGCATTTCCTTTTCTGCTTCTATGTCCTTTACCTATAACATAAAATAAAAATCAGTACAGTTTGAAATAAATTTCAGCAATTATACTCAATTTTTTAAAAGTAATTGTAGGAAAATATAGCTTATTTTAAACCTTTTAGTGCATCATCTCTCCTCCTTGAAATATTTATTTAGTTTAGTTCTTATTTTAATGTAATATAGTAGTTACTTCTACTTCTTTTTCTTGCTGCCACTGTTTGCATTGAGAATGGACTGTTTCAACCTAATTAAGATGCAAAAACGAAAGTGATGTTACGTCATCTGGAAAGCCGATTCGTGCTGATAGCTGATTGGTTGCCGTGAGATGACATCATGCCTACTTCTGCTATAAGTATCTAGCGTCGTCTTACTCAACCTTCTAGTTCCTGCTTTCCTGGCACTTGAGTGAGCGGTTTCAGCCCCTCAGAAGGATGCATGCAGTCCGGTGAAAAAGTGCCTTGGTTCCGGTTTGCGGGATGGCTGTTCCTGAATAAAGTTCCTTGGTGCCTGTCCGCGGGATGATTGTGTCGGAATGAGTTCCTTGGTTCACATCCATAAGATGATTGTTCCAGATTAAAGTTCCTTGGTTCCAGAGGCTACCATATGAGTGACTGCTGTGGGCGGCATCCATGTTCTTCAATAAAGGCGGCAATTAAAAATACGTGAGCGGCGATTCCTTGTGCAAACGGAGTTAGGCTGGTTTTAAGTGTTTTCAAGAACTTGATTTAAATTTCAGGTGTTTTCCTTGACCATTGATTATGGACTTATTGTATGTGTAGCCAGCTTCTTTTTAGGGCGCTTAATTACTGTTTTAGGACATTTTATTTGTATTGACTGCCAGTGTTTTGGAGACCAGGTAAAAATATTATTTGATGAATGATGGTATATTATATTTTTCCTAAGACTCTGATATTGTTGAAATTTATTTTCTGTGTTTTTATTCTTTATTATATTGTTAATAAATTGGTTAAGTTCAAAATCTTTTATTGTCTTCAATGTCTGCACAAACATATGTTCAGGGGAGCTTTCATTGCTACTACTGCTAAATGTTTAATTTCTTTAAACTTTAAACTTGCTTTAGCATCATTTTGGTTATGGGCCACCAGCTCCTGAGTTATTTTTAGTGCAGACTTTGAAGTTTAAAGTTTAATTTTAAGAGATTGGGGGGGCGGTTTTTGTTAAAATTCAAAATATGGCTACTGTTAGTGTCATGCATAATATTGCTAAACTTGATGCATGTAATTATTTTACATGGTCCAAAGATATTAAGTTTTCTTGAATGAAAAAAATGCATGGTCAAAGGTATTGAAAAGTCTGATTTAAATGATGTTAAGGGTATTACAAACGAAATTATAGCGACTATTAAAAGAGAAGTCATTGGCATTATCTTTAATTTATATGAATTAGCCCCTGAATATAGAAACTTGATACGTGAAATTGATTACCCGGTAGTGGCATGGAATACGCTTGCCAAATACTTCCAGCCAGATATTGATCTAGACATATCCTTGTTTTCTAGATATGTCCTGTTTTCAGAGTTCTTAAATTGCAAAATTAAGCCAAATGAAGGTATTAGTTCTTTTCTTCTAGATTAAAAACGTAACTGAACAGTTGAGCTGATATTAATCAGGGCTGTAAGAGATGTTACATATGTTTTCAGTTTTTAGGTTCCTTCCAATAAATATGATCAAGTAGTTCAGAATGTTTTGGTTGGCCAGATGAAAAGTTCATATTTAAAAAGTTCAACTGAATACTAGCAGAGGAACGCGTCTTGGTTTAAGAGATAGATAGGGAAAATTCCAATAAGACTATAGAAGTTCCAAAAGTACTCACTTGAACACAAATTAAGCAGATTAAAGGGCTTAAGTGTTATAAATGTGGGTCCAGGTCATATTAAAAAAACTGTAGAATGAAAGGTAATCTTTCCAGATCACCCTCACATGCTTCTTCTGTTTCCTCAGCTGTATCTAGTAGTAATAAAACATCTCCTAAGTGTAAGAATAAACCAAGTTAGTAAAAGTAAAAAAGAAAAATAATTCCCATGCCACCATCAAGCTTAACATTTGGAGGAAAAAATGATGATAGTTGGATTTTTGTACGCTGCATCATTTTTTGTAAAATCGTGAATTGTTTGATTTTTCTCCTGTGAAAAATGAGATATGCTAATAGCATTGATGGGTAACTTTTCCAATTCATGGAAAGGGTACTGTTTTAAAATGAAATTTGGGGATACGGTTTGCTTAAAAATGTTTTACTCATCTGAACTGAGACGAAATTTAATATCTGGACCTAGAGTAGATATCAATGGAGCAAGATTTATGGTAAAATGGGCAAATTAAGTTACTGATGATGAAAATTCAACTTGTACAGGCTAAGTTGATAGGAAGTAACTATCATGTATTCCCGAAATAGTAAACAAAAGGGGGGCAAATCTGTAAAATTTGAGGCATCCACATCAGCATAATAATAGTGAATTATGGCATGGTCGGTTTGGTCATATAAATTATGATACTATTGTCAGGACAGTAAGAGACATTCAGTTCGAGGTCTTCCTGTAAAGCACTCACCTAATTTGTTTTGTGAACATTGCCAAATCAATAAGCAAAGACAAATCTCCTATAGACCCTTAGAAGGTATTCAAATAAAGAGACTGCTTGAAAGGGTTTTTTCTGATGTGTGGGGACCTATTAGCATTCCAGGTAGGAATAGTGAACGTTACTTCATTTCCTTTATTGACAAATATTCTCGTTACGTGTACCCCACTGTGGAGAAAAGTCAGGTGTTTGAAGTATTTGAAAGGCATATAGCACGTGCGGAAAGATCTTTGAACCTTAGATTGAAATACTTTAGGACTGACAATGGGCGAGAATAGGATAATGATCATTCAGGTGATCTTGTAATCAAAATGGTGTAAAGCACGAATTTACAGATGTATACACTCCAGAACAGAATGGAGTTTGTGAGAGATTTAATCAGACAGGTCTCAACAATGTACGTGCAATCTCACATGATAGTGGAATGAGTTCCGAATTTTGGTCAGATGCAGTAATGTATTTTGCATATTCATTTAATAGAATTTGTCATAAGGGCCAAGATAAAACCCCATTCGAATTGTACACTAAGCGGAAACCATCAGTACGTCACCTTAAGGCATTTGGAATGATTGCCTATGTGGGAATTCCAAAGGCTAAAAGGAATTCTAAGCTTGATCCAAAGGCAACGAAGGGCCGATTGATTGGGTACAGTGTACGAACCAAAGGGTACAAGATTTAGTTGGGAAAACTGAGCAAAAGGTAGTAGAAACCCTAAATGCTACTTTTAAAGAGTCAATTGGAATGCAGGAAAAGTGGCGGTGGAGCTTGTACTGGGCACCCTTCTGATTTCGAATCTGAAAGAAAAGGGTAGAGTTCCAATCTAATGATACTCCAGTTGGCTATTTTCCTGAAATAGAGGAAGAAGAGGAAAGAACCGATACCAATGTACTTCTACAATTGGCATGACACTCAAATCTACATTGAGACAAGTAACTTGGCTTCTTGTAAACCTGTTCCAGGCCAGACGGCACTCGTACAGATGTGTATTATTTTGAGAGGGTGTCTAATCAAAGACTACGATCACCAAATGATGTAGAAAGGTATTGCACTGAACATAATATTCAGTATGATCCTACCTTGTTTGATTTCAAGGGGAAGAAGCAATACTTATAGTGGTGAAATCGACCCAATGGAACTCCTTCAACGTCATATACCGAGATGATAGCTGACTTAAGGTTTCAATTCCAAACACTTATAGCCAGGAATGAAATCCACAGAAAAGCTTAAATGGATAGAGGGCATGAATGGAAGAGGAAATGGCCAACATACGAAAGCATAAGGTATGGCATCTGTTCCACTTCCTAAAGACAAGACTCCACTAGGTTGCAGGTGGATTTTCAACATTAAACGTGACGAATTTGGAAACATTGTTTGTTTTAAAGCTCGTTTAGTGGCTCAGGGTTATCAGCAAATTAAATACGATACCTATGATGAAACCTACTCGCCTGTAGTCAACTTTTCAGTAATAAAAGGCTCTTTTTCTCCTTTTAGTTGCACACCTTGGATGGGCAAATATACAATGCGACGTAAAAAGTGCCTATCTCTATGCTCCTTTATCAGAGGAAATTTACATGTCCCAACCTCAGGGTTTTGTAGAGCGAGATAAAGAAACTTTTGTATGTCGTTTAGATAGAGCCTTGTATGGTTTGCATCAGAGTGGGCGATTATGGTACTACGAGTTGGATAGAACACTATGTAACGTAGGGTTTATCAAGTTTGAGTGGTGCAACTGTGTCTATCGTTTTAAAGATTTTGTCATTCTGTTGGTTTATGTTGATGATATAGTTGTGTTTGGGAAAAGTGAAGTGAGGCCAAAAAGGATATTAAAAGTCCTGAGTTCACATTTTGATTTGAAAATTTTTGGTTAAAACAAGAAAGCTTTTGGGTGTGGAATTTGAATATGAGAACAATAGGTTTTAATTCATCAGCAATCATATATAGAAGACATAGTTGATCGATTCAAGTCTTTAAATACAAATTACTTTCCTTCCAATAGTTAAAGGTGTGAAAATACTCAAAGTCTCAAAGTCCCAGTACACAAGAAGGAACGACTGAAATGATGAATATCCTTATAGAAATGTTGGGGATGTCTCTCGTTTCTTTGCAATCCTACTCGTCCGGATATAGCTTATGCTGTTAGTATATTTTCTCAGTTCCAAAGCAATCCTGGTAAGTTTCAATGGGAAGGATTACTTAAACTTTTAGGGTACTTTCCAATACCAGACAGCACAACTTTAAACTGGTATGCAAGGAACTGAAGCTCAATATATATTCAGATTCGGATTTTGCTTCAAGCAGGGACGATATGGTCTATGGTGGATAAATAGCTTGTTGGGAAAATCTCCTGTATCTTGGCGTTACATTTAAGAAAGGGGGAGTGAGTTTGTCTACTATGGAGGCTGAATTTATCTCCATGACTGAATCAGCAAAAGAATTAGTTTGGTTTAAAAACATTTGGATGAATGCATTCAGTTTAAAATTGCAAGTAACTATGTTTCGAGGCCAATATTATTTGCTGATAACATGGCTGCTATGTTTACAAAATCACCATTGAAAACTCAAGGACAAAACATATAGATGTGAAAATATTTTTCATTCGTGATCTATTGAACAGGGAATTTTGATTTAAAATATTTCCAAGTAAAGATAATCTGGCTGATCCCATGACAAAAACTCCTGACTAAGCATAACCTGATAAGATTTTGTGGAACGATTTTCTTATGAAATTTGTTTTTGTGTGTATTTATATTAAAAGTTTTATTTATGTGAGAATAATATGTTATAAGTCATATTATGATGGACATTAGGTAAATGTAAAACTGTATAGCGTAGAATGTTGTATGATTGACCAGGGCCCTGGGTAAATGTATTGAGTGTATGATCATATATATATGTCTTTGTATTGTTTTGTAACATGTTGGACTTTCTTGCTACGGTACAATTTTTGAATAATGGGATAAGATGTTCCCAAAGGAAATTTTTTCCTTAAAAATTTCTGAATTGAAGAAATTGTGATATTATTTATTCTGATTTGATTTTGTAAAGATACTGGCATTCGGTTTTTATTCAGGTGGAGATGATGATGTGGGGGGCATTTGTTGGAAAATACAGCTTATTTTTAAACCTTTTACTGCATCATCTGTCCTCCTTGAAATGTTTATTTAGTTTAGTCCTTATTTTTAATGTAATATAGTAGTTACTTCTACTTCTTTTTCTTGCTGCCACTGTTTGCATTGAGAATGGACTGTTTCAACCTAATTAAGATGCAAAAACGAAAGTGATGTTACGTCATCTGGAAAGCCGATTCGTGCCGATAGCTGATTGGTTGCCGTGAGATGACATCATGCCTACTTCTGCTATAAGTATCTAGCGTCGCTCTTACTCAACCCTTCTAGTTCCTGCTTTCCTGGCACTTGAGTGAGCGGTTTCCAGCCCCTTCAGAAGGATGCATGCAGTCCGGTGAATAAAGTGCCTTGGTTCCGGTTTGCGGGATGGCTGTTCCTGAATAAAGTTCCTTGGTGCCTGTCCGCGGGATGATTGTGTCGGAATGAGTTCCTTGGTTCATATCCATAAGATGATTGTTCCAGAATAAAGTTCCTTGGTTCCAGAGGCTACCATATGAGTGACTGCTGTGGGTGGCATCCATGTTCTTCAATAAAGGCGGCAATTAAAAACGTGAGCGGCGATTCCTTGTGCAAACGGAGTTTGGCCGGTTTTAAGTGTTTTCAAGAACCTGATTTAAATTTCAGGTGTTTTTCTTGACCATTGATTATGGACTTATTGAATGTGTAGCCAGCTTCATTTTTAGGCCGCTTAATTACTGTTTAGGACATTTTATTTGTATTGAATGCCAGTGTTTTGGGAGACCAGGTAAAATATTTATTTGATGAATGATGGTTATATTATATTTTTCTAAGACTCTGATATTGTTGAAATTTATTTTCTGTGTTTTATTCTTTATTATATTGTTAATAAATTGGTTAAGTTCAAAATCTTTTATTGTCTTCAATGTCTGGACAACATATCTCAGGGAGCTTTTATTGCTACTACTGCTAAATGTTTAATTTCTTTAAACTTTAAACTTTGCTTTAGCATCAGTAATCTTTCAATAAGGATACAAAAATAAAGATAACCTGTTTTAAATCATGAACCATTGATTCTGATTTTTCATCATTATTCAAAATGTCCTTTAGTTCATCAGCATTCAAATGTTTTAGCAATCCAGTAAGATGGCTGTAATCAGGAGTAAAGAGAGATGTTGTGGAATTCATCATTCTGCAACAAAAAGTATCTATTATAAATATTATTATAAAACTATCTATTAGAAATATTACTATAAAGCATACAAAAAAGCATGTACCTTAAATGGACACAATGTTTGTTATGAACACAAAATAATAAAAACTAAAAAAAGTGTTTAACATTTGAGACAAATAACAGACTATGATGATGGAATACTACAGAGGGCTGATAAATTACCTTAAAAGTTCTTCAGAATACTTACTGATTATCTCATGGTTACAGCATGTGGCCCAAAATGCTGTTTTTAGCATATTTTCGTGCCAAAAACATCATTTTGAAAAATGAAAATAGTAACCCACGCATGTGCGTACCAAATATACACTGTGTGGGGGAAAAAAAAAAAAAAAAAAAAGAGGGGCAGTTCTATATGTCCCGTTCAATGGGGCCGATTGGCGAAATTTAAAACGACGACTCGGAAGCATGACTTGGGAAATTTATTAGAGTTATATATAGTATTGTTCTAATATAGGTATTTTTACAAAAAATAGGTACTTTTTCTGAAATGACATGCCAATTTTTTTCCATATTTCGATTTTACGACTCAAATTATGCCAAATTGTGAAGTTTTTCAAAAATCACACAAGAAGTTTTTAAAAAAATTAGCTCTCAAAAATTCAGCTACTCAATGTTGATTGAATTTGACATATATTTATTAACATCTCATTTTTTTATTAAACTTACATGATTCCTTCTTCCAGAATTTGAAATTTAGGCTTAATCCAAATATAATTTTTTATGATTTATTTTTAAAATTTGTATTTAAAAATCTTTTTTATAAATTTGTTGAAAACATTTTTGTATTATGAACTATAAAATTTTTTATATCATCTTAAATTAGATGTATTTCTAGGCATGCTTGCAAAAAAATTTTTTTTAATCAAAATTTTCTAAGATATACACGAATATCATACTGGCATATTTTCAAATTTGGCATACTTATTATAAGCGATAATAAGGAAAATGCGGCTCAAGCGCTTTGTTAAAATTAGTTGAAAGAATGAATGATGGACCTTTTTTCTGCTCGTGCATCAATAAAAAAAAAAGAAATGAAGTAAGTTGCTATTAATTAAGAATTTCGCCACGTGAATGCGAGCTTGGTGCGAGTTGCAAAACATTTGCCAAGAAAATTTTTTAATTTCTCCATTAATTTCGCAGTAAATTTTACAAAATTTAATATTTAGGCATAATTTGAGTCATAGAATCAAAAAATGGAAAAAAAAAATTGGCATGTTATTTCAGAAAAAATGATTTTGTGTCAAAATGCCTATATTAGAACAATGCTATATATAAATCTGATATATATCCCAAGTCATGCTTTCGAGACATGAAAAATGCTATTTGAATTTCGTCAATTGGCGCAGTAGAACAGGAGATACTGAACTGTCCCATTTTTTTTTCCCCAGTGTATTTAAATTGATGTAATTTAATTGCTTTATATTCACCCATTACCGTCAAAAGTCGTTAATTTGGACACGCAAACTCCGGAATGATCTACAATCCGTACCTCAAAGCTACAAACTTTCTGCGCATGCATCTACACTTTACGGCTGCGAATATGCGTGTGCGCATGCGCAAAATATGTTTACGAATGCGCGTTTAATGTATAATGGACGGTATAAGCTAAGCTAAAATTATCTAATTCAGTTAATGTTGCAGATTGCATTGTTCCTTAATCTTGGTATTGGATCGGGCTTATTATTTTTTGCAGACTGTTATGGTAATTTTATAAAAGTAAGCTTGAACTTTCGATTATGTCAAATAGAATTTCTGATCTATATTTGCTAATATGTAAAGGATCTACAAAGCGAAAGTATGTTTCGAAGTCCATTAAACAAAAAGTGGAATTGCTGCAAAAAATGGATAAATGCATATCCTTTGTTTATCTAACCATTCCGAAATCTGTTTATCAATTTCACGCTGCTATGCGGCAGACAATGGATTGGAAGTTGATCTGTCAGCACTATCCTTATCTTCAGGGCAGATGTTTTTATTTTATTTGGGTTATAATTCCTTACTAAATGTAGTATTTCATCTAGATGTACTCCATCTTTGATATGATTTAAATCACATTCCTCGTCATTATAATTCCCTTCCGATAGCGAAGAAAGTGACACAGAGGTTATTGAAAACGAAAAAATTTTGATTGACAAATTAGTCTGGATTCTCGACACAGCAACTATAGGACTTGAACAGCGGAACTTTGTAACTGAACAAGAAATTATGTCTGTTTATAGAATTAAAGAGAAAGTATTATAACATAAAAAATGAAGCAACTTAAAAAACTTACATTGAAAGAAATGTTTAATAAAGTAAACAAATAAATATTAAGTTTTTTTTTTTTAAATTTTGATACCCTTTAGATTATAATTGTTCTTTATTTCATAAATTATGGTTTCATATTTTTAATTTTATAATTTCTACATGCCATCTTACCAGATTTAAATTGATGATCTATAATCCGGAATCGCCAAAGTCCCAATGAGTCCGGATTAACGACTTTTGACTGTATTTTCATGACTGTAGGAATGCAGATATCAGCCATTTAGATTTTTATTTATTCTATTCTCTTAAAAGTCCTATTTCTAATAGAAAGCTTCTTTTTATCATTATTTATGAATAGTGCAGTACTTATAATGCCATACAGATAGCCAAAGAAATAGTTTTCTTTTTTAATTCAGAGAATTTTGACTGCAGGTAATCAGAAAGTAACGTTTTCAATTAAAGGATGTGATTATGTACATGATTTATACATGTTCTTTTCATAATACTAGCACTATTGCAAATGTAAAATTAATAAGTTATATTACAGCACAATCTTCTGAGAACTCTATTTAAACAATACTGCTCGGGATAGCTAATGTAAATTTAACTGCAACAAACTAACTGACAAGAATACTAATAATAAACAGTACATAAGTATTAGCCTGCCGAATGTGAATGCTAGTTATAATCCAGCCAGAAAAGATGAATATCCTGCCAAAGTCATCAGCAATCCCTCCTATGGGATACTGAAGAAACTAATACTTAAAATTAATATTTAACTAGCTTCCCTTTTTCCCTTCATTAAATGCTATAATGGATTTCTACTATTTTGTTAAGTTTTGTCAGCCATATTCAGCTGATCACTTCATGTACACATACTTTATTTTGATAGTAGGATTGCATAACTTATACAGTCAAAAGTCGTTAATTCGGACACCCATAATCCGGAATGATCTATAATCCGGACCTCAAAGCTACAAACTTTCTGCGCATGCGTCGCTTTGACGCATGCGCAGAAAGTTTAATTTGCGTGTGCACGTGCGCAAAATACGCTTACGAATGCACGTTTAATGTATAACGGTCGGGATAAGCTAAGCTAAAATTAACTAATTATCTATTTCAGTTAATGTTGCAGATTGCGTTGTTCCTTAATCTTCGAATTGGATCCGGCTTATTATTTTTTGCAGACTGTTAGAGCAATTTTATAAAAGTAAGCTTGAACTTTTGATTATTTGAAATAGAATTTCCGATATATATTTACTAATATGTAAAGGATATACAAAGCGAAAGTATCTTTCGGAGTCCATTAAACAAAAAGTGGAATTGCTGCAAAAAATGGATAAAGGCATATCCTTTGTTTATCTAAACTTTAACGTTTGTTTATCTAAACTTTGTTTATCTTTAATGCTGCGGAGCCCAATGAATTGGAAGTTGATCTGTCAACACTATCCTTATCTTAAGAGCAGATGTTTTTATTTTATTTGACTTTTAATTGCTTACTAAATGTGGTATTTCCTCTCGATGTACTCCGTCTTTGATATGATTTAAATCAAATGCCTCGTTATTATAATTCGCTTCCGATAGCGAAGAAAGTGACAGAGGTTATTGAAAACGAAAAAATTTCGATTGACAAATTAGTCGGTATTCTCGACACAGCAATTATAGGACTTGAACAGCGGAACTTTGTAACTGAACAAGAAATTATGTCTGTTTATGGAATTAAAGAGAATGTATTATCACAAAAAAACGAAGCAACTTAAACAACTTACATTGAAAGAAATGTTTAATAAAGTAAACAAATAAATATTAAGCTTTTTTTTTTGTAAATTTTGATACACTTTAGATCATAATTGCTCATTATTTTATAAATTACGGTTTCATATTTTTAATTTTATAATTTCCGCATGCCATCTTACCAGATTTAAACTAATGATCTATAATCCGAAAAAAATCGATAATCTGGAATCACCGAAGTCCCGATGAGTTCGGATTAAAGACTTTTGACTGTAATAATAATAATCTACAATTCTGTAGGGGACAGGTCCTAAATTTTAAAAATCTTTTATTTTCAGGGTGGGGGGATAATAGTTAATTTAAATCTTTTTCCTAAAAACAACAGTTGGTTTATTGAGACTTAACTTAGTTTACATCAAACAAAAGTGCAGTTGTTTTGAGTGTTTTGTTATGCCTCGCTCATCTATAATTGGCACTAAATTGTCCTGCTTGTCAGTAGTTTCATGGCCAATGGGATAAAACACCAAGTATCTAATAAACTAATATATTTTTACCCAATAAAAACTGTAACTTAACTCTGCAAGTAATAGGTCGATGATCGCCAATATTTTTTTATGAAATGAACCATTCCTTTCCAGCATGCTATTTTTTAAAGTCGAAGTTCTGATTAAAAAAAAAAAAAAAAACGGTAGGCAGTCTAATTAGGCCTAGAGAACTACGCAAGTAAAATTTTGTGAAGATAGCACTTATCGTTTTAATTCTGTGGCTCACTGATTGAATAGAGCTTCGAAAAAAGAGCTGAAACGAGCATCGTTGTCAATGAATTGACCGATGAGATGTGGAGAAATAAAGAATACAGACTCTCAGTTGTCCTAAATTATCGGTGAGCCCAGTCTGGGCACACCTATGGTTCGTCGTTTGATTTTAGGCAATATTTCCAGGAAAAAATTTAAAACTAATATAGAATAAGAAGATTA